CGCAGTGGCGCAGAGGTAAGAGGCGGGCCGGCGGCGGCCCGGTGTGGAGGTCTTAATCAACAGGTCCCCGGGAGCGCGGCGGGGGAGGGGCGGCCGCGCTCGTCCCCTCCCCCACACTCCTCGCGCAGGGCCCGGGAGGGACCCTAAGCTGCTCCGCGCGCTGCCCCCCGCAGTGGGAGCCGCAGTCCGCCGCGGAGGGCGTGAGCCCAACCTTTGTCCTTTGGAGGAACGCTGCCCGGCGGTGCCCGGTCCCCCAGTCTTGAGGAGGGACCCACCTTGGCTCCTGCCCGCTGCCCGGCCGGAGTTGCGGGGGGCGCGGCTGGGAGTCGCCTGTCCTCTGCACCCCCGTCCCGGAGTTCGGGACTCCCGGGACTCCCTCTAGGCCGGGCGGGGGAAATCGGCGGGGCGAACACTTTCCTTTAGAAGACGGAATGTATTCAGCGTTCCTCTGCCTGACTCAGCTCCTGGTATTCGCTGCTCGTTGCGTGCTGTAAGCAAATAAACAAACAGTTCTTACTTCCTTGTAACCGCGTTTAAAGAAGGGCTTAATCTCGTAAATAGTTTCCGATAATTTACTCTAAGTTTGCAAGGTGAACTTTGAAGCCTGTAAATTGTTGTAAGCTGCGTTTAATGAAAGGCGCTTTAAACAGTCTTTAGTGCAAATTATGTAACTTCCTAATAATAACGCACCTTGTGTTTAGTTGATTGACATACAGTAATGTGTACGGAATTTAGGTTTCGGTCGAAAGGTGTGTGTTGTTTTTTTCCCGCAGTTGGCGCTAAAATTAAAATCTGAGAGCTGGGAGGTTTTCAGAAGTATGTAGTGTGTGTTTTGTCTCCGTACTCGTTTAGAATTGTAAAAATTTAGATAGGGAAATCCTGAAGAACAAGAATTTTAAAATTTTGGTTTTACTGACAAGGTGAAAGACGTTAATATTTCTGCTTTTTAAAAAAGTAATTTGTTTTAATAATTGTATTCTAATTACGCTTTTGGATTACACCAGAAGTTAATAACCTATTAAATTCTTCAATAGCAACAAATGACATGTTGGTTATTGGTGTCTTTTAAGTGTAAGGCAGTAATGAAATTGTTAAATAAGCTTTTTTTGGGATTATGAAGTACTGATTTTTTTTTTTTTACTACATCTTTGTGGACATGGCATATTACAAGTTTTTAAGGGCTCTTTAAACTATTGTAGCAGGCTGAAGCTATGAAATTACAATGTAAGGCCTTTATAAGTGAAACAGGTAAAAATAGGAAAAGCAATTCACTTTATATTTTTTTTAAAAAGCAAGTGGACTCTTACCATGTACTTGAATGGCTTTTGACTAGACCTGAACTTGACAAGTAAAGATGGGCTCAGTAATATTAACTTGTTTTAGAATGTTAAAATGAGAGAGGATATATGTTTTACCTGAGGGTGAGCTGTTTATATGTCCTTTCTGAATATGTGATCTTGATTAAAAAGTGCATCAAAGACATACCAAGAAATTTGGTCCATTTTATGTATCATTATACTAAGATGTCCTATTTCTCTGATAGTTTCTGATTTCAGGGTCTGGGAAAAAATAAGTTTCTCTACATAGGCACTTTAGAATATAATTTTTGATTATATACTTATTGAGTCATAGAATTGTTGAGTTGGAAATATTCTTAGTGGTTGTATAGCCTTACCTCTTAATTTTCCAGGAAAAGTGAGGTTTGTGTAAGTAGTTCGTAATCTGACTGCTAGTTAGTGGCAAAGTTGGAACTAAATGCTAAAATGTTTGTCTCCAGACTCCAAGTATGGTGCTCTTTTCACTATACACTATTGTTAACTGAACAAACCAATGTTACTCTTCACAAAATCACATATGTAGCCAGCAGGGTTGATTCTTTTCCATATTCATTTTTTTCCTTTCCTGTTTTAAATAACCTTTAGCCACAAGTAATCCACTCCCCTGCCGAAGGGTTGTTTTCAGTTTTTCAATATTTCAAACTATGTTCAATTAATATCTTTGTGTGTGTCTGCTCGAGCACATGTGTGAAGATTTTCCTAGAATGTATACTTACCTGTAAGTGGAATTGCTGGGCCATTGGTTGGTGTGCATTTTCAGTTTTACTAGCTGCATCCAAATTCTCCTCTTAAATTGTAATAATTGTCCACACTTGGAATTGTCAGATTGGCATTGCCAGATTTTTTAAATTTCTGCCAATCTTATGGGAGAGAAATGATGTATATATTTGTATCTTTCTTTCAAAAAGACTTTCTTTTTCATTTACATGACGTGAAATTAACTTTTTGTTGTACAGTTGTTTGGGCAAATGCATAAAGCTGTGCAACTACCAAAATCAAGATACGGAACAGTTCCAGCACTCCAAAATCCCTTGAGCTGCTCCTTCATAAGGAACCCTTCCTCCATCCTTAACCCCTGGCAACGAATGATGTTGCCTTTCTCTATATTCTAGAATATAATATAAATGAAATCATACACTATTTAGCCTTTTGAGTTCGGTTTCTTTCATTTAGCACAATACATTTGTTTTTCACTCATGCTGTTTTTTCAGTTTTATTGCTGAAAATAGTATTCCATCTTATGGAGATACCGCACTTTGTTTATCCATCTACCAGTTAAAGGACATTTGAGTTACTTTCAAATGTAAGTAACATTTGAAGTTTTTGCGGGGTTTTTTTTTACTATGAATAAAACGGTAAATCTTTGCGAATAGGCTTTTTACTTTCAAATGTAAGTAACATTTGAAGTTTTTGCGGGGTTTTTTTTACTATAAATAAAACGGTAAATCTTTGCGAATAGGTTTTTGTGTGAACATGTTTTCATTTCTCTTGGGTAAGCACCTGGAATTGGAATTGTTGGTTCCTGTAATAATTGTATGGTTAACTTTATTAATACTGCCTGTTATAGACAGAATAATGTCCCACAATGATGTCCTAATCTCTGGAACCTGTAAATAAATTAGGTTGGATGGCAAAGATGAGTTAAAGTTGCAGGTGGAGCCCAGCCGGGCATCGCTCAGTGGCTGAGCGTCGACCTAGGGTCCAGGCGATCAGGGTTCGATTCCCTGTCAGGGCACATGCCCAGGTTGAGGGCTCAATCAATGACTCTCTCATCATTGATGTTTCTATCTCTCTCTCTCTCCCTCTCCTTTCCTCTCTCTGAAATCAATAAAGATATATTTAAAAAAAAGAAAAAGTTGCAGGTGGAATTAAAATAGCTAATTAACTATTATTATTATTTTTAATTTATCTTTATTGTTGATGTATNTGTGACTTATTTCTCTTTCTTTTTTAAAATTTATCTTTATTGTTGAAAGCACTATAGGTGTCCTATTTTTTTCCCCCCAATTAACCCCCTCCACCTCACTCCCACCCCTCCCCAGGCCTTCACCCCATTATTGTTTGTGTCCATGGATGATGCTAATATGCATATAACTTCTTTGGTTAATCTCTTCCCACCCCCCACCCGCCTTCCCTCTTCCCTCTTCCTTCTTCCTTCTTCCCCCTTCCCCCTGAGATACGACAGTCTGTGGTATGCTTCAGTGTTTCTGGTTCTATTTTGTTTGTCAGTTTCTTTTGTTCATTAGCTTTTTCTTAAAGAAGACCCTTCAACATTTCATTTAATGCTGGTTTGGTGGTGATGAACTCCTTTAGCTTTTTCATATCTGTGAAGCTCTTTATCTGACCTTCAGTTCTAAATGATAGCTTTGCTGGGTAGAGTAATCTTGGTTATAGGTCCTTGCTTTTCATCACTTTGAATATTTCTTGCCACTCCCTTCTGGTCTGCAAAGTTTCTGTTGAGAAATGAGCTGACAGCTTTGTGGGTATTCCCTTGTAGGTAATTAACTGCTTTTGTCTTGCTGCTTTTAAGATTCTCTCTTTGTCTTTAATCTTTGGCATTTTAATTATGATGTGTCTTGGTGTGCGCCTCTTTGGGTTCCTCTCGTTTGGGATCCTCTGTGCTTCCTGGACTTGTAAGTCTGTTACTTTCAGCGGTAGGGGGAGTTTTCTGTAATTATTTTTTCAAATAGGTTTTCAATTTCCTGCTCTCTTCTCCTTCTGGCATCCCCATAATATGAATGTTGGGCCTCTTGAAGTTGTACCAGAGACTCCTTACATTATCTTCATATTTCTGGATTCTCTTTTCTTTCTGCTCTTCTAATTGGGTGTTTTTTCTTCCTCATATTCCAAATTGCTGATTTGATTCTCAGCGTCCTCTACTCTGCTGTTGATTCCCTGTAAATTATTCTTCCTTTCAGTTAGTGTATCCTTCATTTCTGACTGGTTCTTTATTATGCCATTGACGATCTCATTAGTTTCCCTAATAGCCTTACTAAGATCCTTGAGCATCCTTTTAACCATTGTTTTGAACTCTATATCTAATAGTTTCCTTGGCTCCGTTTCATTTAGTTCTTTTTCTGGAGATTTCTTCTGTTCTTTCATTTGTGACATGTTTTTTTGCCTCCAAATTTTGGCTGCTTTCTGTTGTTTGTTTCTGTGTATTAGGTAGAGCTGCTATGTCTCCTGGAATTTGTAGAGTGGCTTTGTGTAGTAGGTGTCCTGTAGGGCCCAATGGCTCAGTCTCCCCAGTCACCTGGTGCTTCTAGGTGCTCCCCTGTGTGTTCTATGTGCACTGTCCTGTTGTTGTTGAGCCTTGGTTGCTTTTGGCATCACTGGGAGGAATTGACCCCCAGGCCAATCAGCTGTGAGGACCAGCTGCAGCTATACCCGAAGAGCTGGTGTGCTGGAGACACCCCTGTGGAGCAGGATTTACGTCAGTGGAGCTTTGGTGTTCACTGNTTGGCATCACTGGGAGGAATTGACCCCCAGGCCAATCAGCTGTGAGGACCAGCTGCAGCTATACCCGAAGAGCTGGTGTGCTGGAGACACCCCTGTGGAGCAGGATTTACGTCAGTGGAGCTTTGGTGTTCACTGAGTGCTCCCCTTGAATGTGTCACTTGTGGATGTGGTAGGGTTGTAATCCAGCGTGGTCAAAGCTGACCACAGGATGCATTGTTTCTGGGGCCTCCTGGGAGGTGCAAAGTCAGCCTCTGCCTATGTCCTTCCCAGGGCTACCAAGCATGAGCTACACAGCAATCCATAAATGGCTGCTACTTGTGCTGGGTTTGCAAGTGTCCAGGAGAGGCCAAGCTATGAACCAATGCAGGCTTCCACTAGTGCCAGGCCTGGGGCCACTTATTGAGAGGAATGGGGTACACAGAGGCTAACTGCTGCTTGTTTGAGACATTTTAGGAAAGTCCTAAGTATGAGGCTAGAGAGGCTACTTGCATATTGCATAGAAAAGCCCCTGGAAATGGCTTGGATGAGCTTGCAAGTAGGGAGGAGCCGGGTCTCTGGGAATCACAAGGGGGTGGGGGTGAGTCAGGTTGATGGAGATTCAGAGAAGGCACCTGCCAGGTCTGTGGGCAGAGGTCTTGTCAAAGGAGCAATGGCCTCTGCCAGCTCTTCTGTCTGTGAGAAAGTTGCCTTTCCAGCTCTCGCCCTGATTCCAGGCAAGTTAGTTCCGGAATGTCCTGAGTTCCTTTCAAGCTGCTGCCCAGCACTGGAGCTCAAAGGGAGCATGTCTGAGTGAGTCCATGCGTGGCCCTTTGAGCCCCTTAAGAGGAGCTGCCTGGGATTCCAGTAGCCTCCACTCACTCAGCCACAGTCCCCGCTTGTTTTTACAGCCCGAAGTTGCGGGGACCTTTCCCGGCATGGGAATCCTGGGCTGGGGGCCCTGATGTGGGGCTGGGACACTTCACTCCTCCGGGAAACCTCCACTGACTGAGATATCCCTCCCGGTTTTAAACTGTGGCACCTGCGTGTGGGACCACGCCTGTGTCTCTGAAATTCAGCCCAGATTCAGCCCTGCATTTCCTCCTCTCCTACCCGTCTCGATGTGTTTCTTCAGTGCCCTAGTTGTAGGACTTCCGTTCATCTAGATTTCAGGAGGTTCTGAATGATGGTGGTTCTGTATCTTAGTTTTAATATTGATGTGGTTGTGGAGCTGGTGGGTACCAGTTTTACCCATGTCGCCATCTTGTCTCTCATCTGACTTTAAAATGTTGAAATTATCCTGGATTATCCAGGTGGGCCTGAAATATCACAAAGTTCCTTAAAGGGGAAAGAGAAGCAGTAGAGTCAAAAAACAAGATGTAACAATGAAAGCAGAGCCAGAGAGATACAGAGTTCTTGGTTTTGATCATGGAGGAGGGGGGTCATAAACTAAGGGATGTAGTGGTCTGTAGAAGCTGGAAAAAGCTAGGAAATGGATTAACCTTTAGAGCCCCTCAAAAAAAATGCAGCTCTGCCAATGCCCTGACTTTAGCCCAGGGAGTCCTGAGTTAAACTTTTAACCTACAGAAATGTAAAATAATAAATTTGTATTGTTTTAAGCCACTGAATTTCTGGTAATTTGTTACAGCAGCATAGCAAACTAGATGTTGTAGAACTCTTTTCTAAAGAGGCTGAACTAGTTTCCTCAGCAATGTATGAGTGTTTGTTACTTTACATCCTCATCAGTACTTGGTATGGTAAATCTTTTTAACTTTAGTCATTCTAACAGGTATGTAGCAGTATCTCATTGTGATTTTTATTTGTATGTTTCTCATGACTAATGATATTGAACATCTTTTCATGTGCTTATTTGCCCTCTGTGTATAGTGGAACCTTGGTTCTTGAACTTAATTTGTCTCAAAAGGCTGTTAGAGAAGTGATTTGTTCAAAAACTGAATCATTCTTTCCTATTAGAAATAATGTAAATTGAATTAATCCATTGCAGACCCCAAAATGATTTCCTGTTTTAAACTTTCTCAATTACCTGTGATTGTTGTTTCATGAGCACTCTCACACCCTTAGCCACACCAGCACTCTTGATGGCTCATTATGTTTTAAAATTGTGTTAATCATTGAATTTGCCATGCCATACTCAGTAGGTAGCCAGATCAGACACGAGAACACCTCTATCATACTTTGCATTTCTTTTTTAAGCTCTGTCATTGTTCTCACAACTTTCCTTTTCACTATGCTATCACTAACCTTCTTAGGATCCATGGTTACTTACTGCACGTATTTAATAATAATAAGCAGCAGCAAAAGCAACAAACAAAACAAAACAAAAAACAACCACAGAAACCATTCACAGCACAATTTCCTGAGATGTTAACAACTCAAGGTTTAGCAGTAAACCGACTCATACTTGCACATTCTGTCCTTTGTTGCCTGAGAGACAGTGACTGATCATACAGGTATCAGCATGAAATGGTTGTCTGGTCAAGAACTGTTTGACAACCAAGACATTTTTCCCATGAACAATTTGGTCAAGAACTAAATTGTTTGAGATGGAAGACATTCGAGAACCCAACGTTTGACTGTATCTTCTTTGTTGAAGTGTCTGAATATTTTGTCCATTTTAAAATTGGATTTTCTTATTGTCAAGTTTTGAGAGTTTTTTAGATTCCTTTGTCAGATAGTTGATTTGCAAAGATTTTCTCCCAGTCTGTGGCTTGCCTATTCCATTCTTCTAACAACGTCTTTTGAAGTACAGAAGTTTTAAATTTTGATGAAGTCCAAAGTGTCAGTATTTTCTTCAGTGGATCTTACTTTGTGTGTTGTACCTAGGAACTCTGCCA